GCCTTAGACGCTTGAGCCACAGGCGCTGAGCCGGCAATAGATTCTTGCTGACAAATGTTACCTAAAACCATTTATGTCATTACTTGCGAATTATCCCACCTTGAGTGGTGTCTCCCCCAACATAAGGCTCTAGAATGGTGGTCCTCAACCTTCCTAATGCCACAAACCTTCAATACTGTCACGACCCACAGGTTGAGAACTTGCTGCTCTAGAATTTGTCCAGATTAAAGTCATTGTACACTCCCATTAGTGCCCTCATTAACTCCTTCTATGAAGAGGCTTTAGTGACATTCTCTCATGCTTCCTGAAATCTTTGAACCACCCAGAGGACCACAAGTTGTCCATGGGCTTCTGATGCAAGAAACTGACTTCCTCGGCCCTGAACTACCCCCAGTTACAGTAATGATTGCTGGGCACACACTCAGCACTGCTGCAAATAGAGGCTCTCAGAGACCCTAACCCTCTGACCCCCATGTTAGCTGGCCATTATTCCTTAGATTACTCAACAAGTTTGGCATGGCTACCAAGACCTCCTGGGAAGAGTATGGAGCCAAGCCTGGGCTCTCTGACATATCCCACCAGGTGGGAATGGCCTTTTGGTCCCTTGCCAGATGGCAAGGTGCTGGAGGAAGGGAGAAGCTCACCCCTCTCTTTGACCTCTTGCCTACCCCAGGAATCCTTTGGGATAAACTTAATGAACACCAATGAGAATTCATGTACTTTTATGGATGCCATTGCCACCATCATGCACGATGTAGCTCAGTACAATGTTGCTATTTTCCATCCCTTACCTAGTATATCCTTGATGAAAAATGGTATCCAAGGGCCCAACGGTGGCCAAATATCAGTCAGTCATCTTAGCACTGAATGCCTGCGTTAGTCCATTCGGGCTGCTTTAGAAAAAATACTATAAAGTGAGTGGCTTATAAACAACAGAAATTTAATTGTCACAGTTCTGGAGACTGGAAAGTCCAAGATGAGGGCACATTTGTTGTCTGGTAAGGTCCTGCTTCTGACTTTTAGGTGGCCTTTTTTTTTTTTTTTTTTTTTTGAGGCAGAGTCCCACTATGTCACCCTTGGTAGAGTGCTGTGGTATCACAGCTCACAGCAACCTCCAACTCTTGGGCTTAAGTGATTCTCTGGCCTTAGCCTCCCAAGTAGCTGGGACTACAGGCACCCCCCACAACACCCAGCTATTTTTTGTTGCAATTGTCATTGTCATTTAGCTGGCCAGGGCCAGGTTTGAACCCACCAGCCTTGGTGTATGTGGCTGGCACTGTCCACTGTGCTACGGGCGCCAAGGCATGGGCGGTGCCTTCATGCTGTGTCCTCATGTGATGGGAGGACCAAGGGGTCCCTCTTGGGTTTCTATTATAAGGCCACTATCCCATAATGAGGGCTCTAAACCTTCACCTAATCTGCTTCCAAAGCCCGCATCTCCTAATACCATCACCTTGGGAGTCAGCATTTCAATATTTGAATTGTGGGAGGGTATAACCACTCAGACCATAGCAATGTTCCAGCAAGCAAATGGTCTCTTTTGCATATAATTTTACAAACTCTTGGGCCATTGCCTAAGAGTTGCCCTCTTTGGGGTAAAGAACTCTTGAGAATCTCTTATCTCATTGATACCCAAAATATAGGACAAGGAATAAAAGGTATATCTTCACACACTAAGGCCATAATACAAGGCCTCATTAG